TTTGAAATTGTGTTCGGAAGACCCTTCCAGGCCTCAGTTCTAAAAGCCACTCCGGAAATAGCTCAAGATTGCCGGATCACACAATATGTGAAACACATCCAGGAGGTTCTGGCAGTAATTCATAACTTTGCAAACTCAAGGATCTCTATGCCTCCTGATCAACCATTGCATCCCTTCAAACCTGGAGATCAGGTCTTACTGAAGACCTGGCAGAGTGGGGACCCACAGAAAAGGGTCAGAAACAACCAGACAAGCCCGGAAGGAAAAGAGCAAAATCAATATTAAGATAAAAGCTGCCATTGTCACCTCCCCATGGGTCTCACCCACATCTGTGTCACCCAGTCCACGACCAAGAGACAAGAGCAGTTTCTTCATGTGTCTCTAGGCTCCATGCGCCTCCTCCAGGTCTCCTGGCTCCATCCTGCTTCCTTCCTTCCTCAGTCTCTTCTGCAGCTTCTCCTCTTCCTGCTCAGCTCCACCCTCCCTTGGGTGGGGCAGGGAACCTCCCCCTTTCCTGGGGACCACCCTGTTACACAATCACCTGTCTTCATTCTCAAGCAGCAGTCCCTAACAGAAGAGCCACAGACTTTATAAGGGTGTTGGTTTTTTATTAGCATTCAGGGGTGCATGAACTGGAACAGGGATAAAATTAATCTTTCCTTTCAGTAACCTCTATCTGCAATACAGCATTTCCTTCAACTCAAAATATAAGCAACACACCACAGTAATGTTGGCTGTGCTCGTAATGTTTTTACCAACAGAAAGCAGGTATTTTCCTATTATATTACGGATTACATTTACAGATTACAAAACTTTGTGTTTTACACAACTTGACTTGAAAATTATGGTATTATACCTGTTATCAGAGCTCATTATTTAATTCACTAATACAGAAGCACATATATTGCATTTAAAACATTATTCTGAAAAGGGGTCCAAAGATGTTACCAAACTGAAAAGTATGTGGCAAAAGAATGGTTAAGAGTCTCTCATTTAGAAAATATTTCTAACCCATGCTTCCCAGAAGTTCTTCTGGCCCACACCTCCTAATATTATATCCTAGCTTGGAGGAAAGAGGTTATTAAGGGAGACCTCAATGACCTAATGTAGGTTACCCCAGATCCTTGGAAGCTAAAAGAACCTAACTCCTTGAAGTAAGCTATAATACTGGATTCACAGGTTCTATTTTCCCTCTAAGAAAAAGTACTTTCTGAATCATTCATTTTCCAAAGTCAACAGCAGTGACTTTCCAATGCATTAAAGGTATTTTGGATATTCAAGGTAATCTCTTCCTCAATGAGAACAACAAAAAAATCTGTATAGTACCTAACAGTTCACAAAGCACTTTCATATATATATATATATATATATATATATATATATATATATAAAATCTCATTTAATCATAAGACTCAGCAGCGAAGACAGAGCAGATATTGTGAGCTTCATTTTATAAATGAAGAAAGCAAAATTTGGAGGTTAAATGACAAAGTAACACATCTAGCAAGTGGCGTGGACAGGACAAGAACTCATTTCCTCAGATTCCCAGACAAGCACTGTTTTTGTACTTCACTGCACATGACAGGCTATTGTGTGTGTTTCCTTAGTGGAATAACAGTCATCAAATGTCTCATCTTTGATCTCACTGGATTTGTTATTTGTCTTAGCACTTTAAGCAAAAGAATAAAAATAAGTGTTAATCCTGTACATGTCTATTACAGGGTCCAATAGAGCATGATTTCTTAAGATAAAGAATTTTAATTATTATACTTCTGTTGTCACTTTAGCCTAAAGTGTGCTTATAACTAGACAACCGAACTTTGGTGGAGAAAAAGCATTCAATCAAGGATGACATTTTCAATTTAAATTCACGATCTCCAACTTCAAACAGGCCTTCAACATTGCTCCCACACCTACTGTTTCCTCTGTTAAGCCTGCACCCCCAACCCCATCAAGATGTCTACTGCTGCATACTTCTCTCTCCTGAAACTTCCTAATCTTCAACCTAATTCTGCACACTACCAGCTATTAACCTTGCTTCCTTCATTAAGCCACTAGATTGGAATGTCCTCATTTTTCTATCTCAAAATCAATAAATCTTCTTGCCTCTACATCCACAGAAAGAAGGTTGATACCACCTCTGTGGATGGGCTCAATTATTTTTCCCCCAGCTTTATTGAAGCATAATTGACAAAAATTGTGTACATCTAGGCCGTAAAACGTGTTTCAATTTATGCATACAACATTAAATGATCACCACAATCAAGCTAGTTAGCATATCCATCTTCTCACACAGTTGCCCTTTCTCTACCTTCCTTCCTTCCTTTCTTCTCTCTCTCTTTTGAGGGAGGGGTGAGAATGGTTATGATCCATCCTTAGCAAATTTCAAGCACAGAGTATTATCTGCAGTCACCCTGCTTTACAATAACTATTAGATCCCGGAACTTACTCATCTTGCATAAATTAAACTGTATCCTTTGTTTTTCAAGTCAAATCAGAAAATAAATATTCCTGACTTCATACTGTCTTTTCACCCTCGTCCTAAAGTGTTGTTGGAATTCATTTTATTTATTTATAATAATAAATTTTATTTTTATATTATAACCCGCCTCAGCTCCCATTCACTCCTAATTTGCAGCAATCCCTCCTCACTGATCAGTCAACTGAATGGCACTATCAGTAAGGTCCCCAAGGGTCTCCTTGTTGACAATTCAATGGATATTCACAATGATGGTTAAAGAAGACCTCTTCTCTTGCTTTCTGTGACAACATCGTCTCCTGACCACTGTGACAAGATTTCATCCCCATTTAGCTTCTTAAATTGTCTTTGATGAAAGTATCAATAAGCAGTAAAAAGCTAGAAGGCAGGAAGCAGAAGGAAGAAAGTAAAACAATATTGGAGACAAGGAGACAAGAATACTGCTGGCCTGTGGAGAATCAAATGCTAACTGAAAGAATCAGACTTATATGGGTGTGAATACCGTCATAAATCATCATCAAACCTCATTTCATGTATGAACAAATTTAGGCTTAAATTTCTGTGCAATGAGCAGCAAAAGTTCTAAAACTAGATAATCTGGTCATTCATGCTACAACCAGAAAGGAAAGGCCAATACCATCTTTCCAATTTGCCCTACCTTTGTTTAGGTAACAAATGAACTCTACTTAATGTGTTCCTGCCTTTCACTGTGCTGCACACACACACATACACACACGCACACACACACACACACACAACTGCTCTACTGTCATTCACATAAAAGCTACTAGGTCAGCGAGTGGCAAATACAAAGTACCTTTCTTCAAACTTTATTAAAGCAGAATTCTCTGAGTATTTTAAATACTCTGTGTACTATATGGGACAAAGTAAATTACTTATTTATAAATGTGATTTAAACATTCTTATCTGAATAACAAGCAAGTCTAAATATAAGACCTAGTAAGTAACTAGATATAACTAAAGCTGTCCCTGCGTTATTGGTTCTTTAATATTTTCCTTAGAGCGGTGTTAAGAAGTAGTCTGGTATTACGTGACACAACCTTGCCCTAGATTTCAGACAGTATAAGCTTTAAACAATCATTTTCAGTGATACGGGCAGATGATTCAATCTCACATTCCCTCAGCTTTCCTATGAATTGAATTAGTAATCATCCCAGCAGTTAACCCAATTCACAGGGATGTTGTAAGGGAACCAGATATTTAATTGCCTTGGGTGTCTCATGACAAAGGCTATTTTGGGCAAACCTACAGATTTCTGGCATTAGACTCAAACAGGCAGTTAGATAGCAGAAGGATACTCAAGCAAGCAGAAAGAAAAGAGGTCTACATTGTATGTTATTTCAAACAAAGATATTCAGATAAATGCAAAGAATAGTCTAGTTTTTTAAAAAAGGAAACAATAAAGTAACTCAAAGAAAAGGAGCTAGATATTAGAAAATAACCTTAAGTAAGAGGAAGAGGTTGTTGAGACAGCTTAGCAGAGACAAAAGGCACTGAAGAACAGAGTCATCCATATTCCCACACTGTAAGATAAGGCAGATAAAAAGCCAATTAAACTATGTACAGATGTTTAAAAAAACAATGTAGGGAAGATAACTTGGTTGGCTTGTCTGTCCATCAATGACAAATTATTAGGTGGTTAAATGTTTTTCCTAAAGAATCTATACTTGTGTAAAATTTATTATTAACATTGGACAACTAAAATTTCTCCTTAACTGAAACCATTAAGGTCTCCTTTTTTTTAATCACACTGTTTGCTCTCTAATTGATGTAATTTTACTTCAAATAACTCAGCAAGATAAAAGTCACTTGAAGAGACAGTTAGCAAAGGAATAACTGAGACTATTCCCAAATTTTAATAACGTGTCAGTAGTCTGGATTTTAGCTTTTAATATCTTCTTTCACAGCTATGGCTTCTGTATACAACTAATTCTGCACAGAATGTTAATCATATGGAATATGTTTTAGACAACTGCTTTGCCACTGCAGCAAACAATTAGTCATGAACTTCTAACTTTTCATGCAATTTGTTGTGCCAGACTATGTTCCTGATTTCACTGATAAACACATCATTCCCACAAAGGTTAATTTAATTAAATTATGACAGGGTAACAAAAAAGAATGGCGTGTGTTAAGAGAGTATCACCAGGACTATTTTAAATTTTCCATATTCCTATCTTAGAATTTTGCTTAAGAACATGCTGGCTGAGATCAGTTCTACAATAATGAGAAAGGCAATTATACTTAAAATGTATAAATGCCAATAAAAAAGTCATCAAAAGCTGGAAACTATGGCAAATGACATGTTTAGTTATATGACACAATCTTTATAATATCTACATAGAACATTAAGAACAATCTTACAATTGTAATATAACTGAAGTTATAAACTATGAAAATATACTACATGTAACAATAACAGCTTTAGTTATTCATTCTACCAAAATAAGGAAGGTAAGAAGACAGCAAACTAAAAATGAATTTAATAGGAGACAAATACCTTCAGTTGATTGTTAAATGAATCCATTTCAGAGAGCTTAGCTGCAGTTTCTTTTTCAAGAGCATCTAACTGTTCTTTAAGTCTTTGGCATAATTCTTCTTTTTCTACAGATTTTTTATGAAGTAAACCGATCCCCAAATCTGAAATATAAACAGAAAATTTACATTTGGTATAAATTCCTATGTCATTACTGTCTGATCAAATTGGTAAAAATAGAAAAAGAGGAAGGACTTACATAGGTGTTGAGACCTGATGAAAAGAAACAAACCAGTGGTTGTTTCTCTTTTCCAGCTAACCCTTAACACCACCATCCAAAAATAGTCACATTTCTGTTACATTTCTTCCCAGTATTTAGAGCCATGAAATTAAAATATACTGTACAGAATTTCACATGCTATTTTTGTCACTACCACCTTCTTCTGTCACTTAAGTTCTGTTAATTGTTTAATGCCTAAACAACTTCCATATTACTCTCATAATTCTCTTCTCCATTCCCTATCTTTGAAAAAAAATTTTAAAAGATTTATTTATTTATATAAGAACTGGGGTACAGGCTAGAGTCACAGGAGGGTGACAGAATTCACCAGAGACAGAGCGGGGAGCAGAAAAGGCAGATGACTGAAAACACTGCTGAGGAGACAGTGGGGGAGACAGGAGAGGTCTGCCACGCCATGTGGGTATCTCCCTGGCCGACTGGGAATCGAACCCGTGCTGTAGAGGCTACAGACAGCCCCACAGCACTGTGCTCAACCCACTGTACCACCAGGAAGGCCCTACCTTTGAAAATTTTAATGTCTCCAATTGGATGAATTTTACATAAAAACAAGATAAGCAACTGATTATCTCCTTAAAATAAATTCCAAAGCAACACTATATTAAATATGAATATTGCCAAATTGCCTTTTAAGACGCTTGTCCTTTATATTCCCACTAGCAGTATGAAATTTCCCCACACTCTCACTGACTCGTAAAATTCACTCTCACTCATTCGCTATGTAAGAATCAAATTTACAGGTTAAATAAGCTCCTTGTTTTATTTCCTATCTCATCTATGTATAATGTATTCAAATACTTTTCAACTATTAGCAACTTCTTTTAAATCTGTCCAAAACCTCTGCCAAACTATGTTTTGAGCATTTATCTTTAGTTTTTAATTACTCTGATAATCAAACATTTGACATATTAAGGATAGTAATCCTTTACCGGACATTTAAATTGGCAATAGCTATAAATATTTAATAGTTTATAAACAATTATAGAACCAGTTTCCCTTTCAAAATATAGAGAAGGTTGTTCTCCTCTTCCTATTAAAGAAAATGTTTTACTTCCCAGTATTTGGAAATATTTATGCCTTTCATATTATGAAGATCATCATATTTAACAAGTGCTTTTACTGTGAAAATAACTTTCTTAATCAATGTCCATAATAAAGACGCACTTTCACAATTCAACAAACAACTCAAAAAAGTTTTGTAGCCCAGGAGTAAAATATAGTCCCATAGCAGATTTACGAGATGTCATGGTGCAAAATTAACTGAGCGATGGTAATCGTCCCATAATTTCCAACTCAAATGTTCAAGTTAGGGCCCTGATCATACAGAAGGATTATACTTAAAGGAAATTCACAGCTCAGGGTCATTCAATTGTCTGCATAAAAAAAAATTAATAACTGGATCTAACAGTATTATAATTCTAGTGAACAATTTAACAAGGATCTCTGTATTTTGGAATCCCAGTTTAGTCAATAGCAAATAAATATCAGTCCTTATCTCCCACCAATCACTCAAATGTTTCTTTCTAATGAATTGACCATTACATTTCCTAAGTTCTAGAATGGCCAACAGACCATAAAAAGACATTTCTTTAGGCTCCTGCTTGAAATCAACAGCTTCAGCAAACTGTTCGTCTTGATTCAGGGCCAATGTACTTTAAATTTTAATTGCTTATGATTCTTTCATCACGGAAAGGCTTTTCATTTTTATGTCAACAAATATGTAAATATTTTCCTCCATAAATCTATGACTTGTTTGAAAAGACTTTCCTCATACCAAGACTATAAAATTTTTTTCTATGTATTTTATTTTCAGTTTTTTTATGTTTATTGTCTTATTTTACCTAGAATTTATTTCTGTACATAAATTGCTATAAATACACTGGCCTGCTTGTAGACTCTATTCAATCCTATTGTTCTTTGTTTCTATTTCTGATCAATAACACATTATTTTAAGGACTAGAGCTTACATAACTCATGTTTTGATATCTGAGAGAGCCAGTCTCTTCCCCAACCAATGTTTTTTTTTCAAATCTTACTTAATTTTACACATTTTCTCTTGTAGGTGAACTTGTGAATTATCTTGCCAAGCTTCATTTAAAGAAAACTGAATAGAAGAACTTAATATACAGATGAATTAATAAAGAACTGACATCTTCACAGTATTTGAGCTAGTTCATTCAGAGACATAATAGACATAATATATATCTGCTTAACCAGGAATCAATTATGTCTACCAGTAGAATTTTGGAGCTGTACATTTCTTCTTTATTCAGAATAAAGAAGAGTATCCATGATACTTTCTGATTAAATATCTTTGATATATAGTAAAGTGACTAATTTTTATATGCTGACTTTGTATTTAGGCACTTTGCTAAATTCTCTTATAATCTAACAGTTTTCCAACATTTCAACAAATATTTAATCATTACACATCTCCTATATGCAAGGCACTGCACTGTTGTCTGTGGCATGTTATACAAAGAAGGTTAAGGCAGAGGTTCTGTCCTCAAGTAGTTTAGAGTCTCGCTAAACTGGAAGATAAGCAATGTGAAAAAATAATAGCAAAAGAATATTCAATCATAGTGTTCTTCAAATTGATCATCATTTATTAATGGACATTTTAATATCAAATAAGATGATAGCATAAAGTTGTGCCCTGTGTAAAGCAACTGAAAGGCAAGGCAGTGCAGTGTCAGCATGAGACAAGACAATTTGGGAACCACCATCTCAGGCAGCTACTTGATCTCTCTAAGCCTCAGTTTTCCCGAGTTATGCAATGGCAGTAACAACAACTCCACAGGTCTGTTATACAGATTAAAGGAAATAGTATACAAAAACTGCTGAGCATAGTGCTTGGCACATGGTTGGCAATTTAAGTGGTAGCTGTGACAGAGCGTCATCTAAGGGAGTGCGCATTTCAAACAAAAGCTTCCTATTCTGAACTATATAGCAACCAACCAGCCAGGTGAATTATCAGTAGATAAGTGTTAAATGAGATCATGTTTCACAGAGAAAGTAGTTCTATTGGGTCCCCAAGGAGACCAAATGCTAAGAGTAATGACGGGCACGATGATCTCCTCTCTCCACTGCACAGACCGGGAGGGCTGGACATGCTGCCCTGGAATGTCTGTGGAGGGGCGGGGGACTGATATATTCTGAACAGTCAAGAAAAGAACTAAGTGCAAGGAAGACTGAGAAGAAATACGGACAGATCACATCACCAGTGGGAGGTGGCGGACATTACAGCAAGAGTAGTGAACAGGCTCATTTTTCTATTCTGCGATGTTTCTCCCATGGAAAGGGCCCTTTACTACCACAACATTCCCAGTTCTTTCCAACCATTCACTTCCTGCTGTGCTCAAGATAAAGACCTGCTCATACACAGACTCAACCTTGAAGTGCCCCAAAGAGAATCTGTGTCTTGCTGTGCTCATGTGGCAAGTGACCCATGGGTGCAGCTGCTCTGTTCATAGATAAGCCATGGAGTCCAGGTTGTTCATAAATAAAATGATGATACTTGATCTCTCATTATGTGTTGCTCCTTCGTCTGACTTCTCAATTTGTTTCATATTTGGACAAAAGAAGGAGATGTTATTTCTTAGACCTCCTAAACAGCCGAAAGTGTAATAAAGACTCCTAGGATGAAAAGACTGATACTCATTGGGAGACATTTAGAAATTTTAGGTAGTTCTAACACAACCTTTGCAGATACTTTATTTATTTTTAAAAGATTTATTTATTTATACATAGAAGAACTGGGGTACAGGCCAGAGGTGTGTATGGGGGAGGCGAGAGGATTCACCAGAGAGAGTGGGGAGCAAAATAGGCAGATCGACTAAAATACACTGCTGAGGGGAGCAGCGGGCAAGACAGGAGAGGTCTGCTGCGCCATGTGGGTAGCTTCCTGCTCAGGGATTGAACTCGTGGTGCAGTGGATGCGGACAGCTTCATAGGTTGCATCTTACGTCTTGCGCCACCAGGGAGGCCCCTTTGCAGATTCTTTAAATAAACGTTTCCTCTGTGTTGCTATCCAACATAAAGAGGTTTGTTTCTTTTTCTTTCCTTTTTTTTTTTTTTTTCTTAAAGCTTTCTGGTTGGGACTTGAACCAATAAGGTGTTACATTCCCACTGATTATCTTGGAATGTTTTGTTCCACAGGTATCAGAGGGCCAAGATGGTAAAATGCTTTCTACAAATCATGGAATTAGAGAATAAAAAGGTCTGGGAAGGACATACTGATCAAGGTGTACATTAGCACCCCAGAACCCTACTGGTTTGGCCCTACAGTAACTGTGCTTTATGGTTAGTGCAGGATTTTGCCAAATGTGCATATGGTCTTATGCGAGAGTCAGACTTACATCTTTTTTTTTAAGGGTTAAGCCTGTGTACTATTCTTTTTTTTTTTTTTTTAAGATTTATTTATTTATTTACACAAGCACTGGGTATGGTCAGAAGCATGGGAGGGTGAGAGAATTCACCAGAGCCAGAGCGGGGAGCAGAACAGGTAGAAGGACCGAAGTACATTGCTGAGGGGAGCAGCAGGCAGCAGGAGAGGTCTGTGTGCTATGTGGGACCCTCCTCTGGCGGCCGGGGAGCAGCCAGGGATGGAACCCGTGCGGCAGAGGCTGCGGGCAGCTTCACAGCCCAGTGCTCAACCGCTGCACCACCAGGGGAGGCCCCAGACCTACATCTTGTTTGCCTGTAGTCAAACAAATCAGTTGACTGATATTTGAAATACATAAATAAAAATGTTATCAAGAAATGAGGGATGCCACAATTATTACTGTTATGTTTATTTAATTTTTAATTACTAAAAGTGCTCCATTGCATGTGGTATCTTCCATTTTTGAATTTTTTTAAAAAAAATTTATTTTTTTTTAATTTATACAAGAACCAGGGTACAGGCCAGAGGTGCAGGAGGATGAGAGGATTCACCAGAGACAGAGTGGGGAACAGAATAGGCAGACGACTGAAATACACTGCTGAGGGGAATAGCAGGCGAGACAGGAGAGGTCTGCCTCACCATGTGGGCATCTCTGCGGCAGGCGGGGAACGAACCAGCACTGCAGAAGCTGCGGACAGCTTCACAGCACTGCGCTCAACCGCCTGCGCCACCAGGGAGGCCCTCATTTTTGAAATTTTTAACTACAGACCAAAAAAAGGTCTAACACAATAGTGGTATTTTAAAAAGTAACCGGACACGACTGATACATTCCCTCAGAAAATAACAGAAGAGGTGAAACAAACCTTGGAGACTTACCTGGTGTATTACCAAGCTGCATGTTTTTAATTCTTTCATTTAATAATTGCTTCTCAGGTACCAAATAGATAAGCTTATTTTGATATTCCTTACAAAAAAGAAAAAGTAGTGCCTGATTAAAACTCTGCAATATGTACAAACTTTCTGAAAACTTAAAAATATAATTTAATCACTCTTGAAGCAGTATAGGGATAACATTCATAAGCTTACAACTTATGAATAAACTAGAATGGAGTTATGCACAATTTTAAACACATAAATCCATTTATGAATGACAGGTAGAAATTAAAAGGTGGTGAAGAAAGCCTTTGTTAATGGGAGTGTGTCTAAAAGCTTTACAATTTTCTGAGCACTGAAAACACAGGAACACACAGGCACAGGCTCAGAGGAGCCCCCGGTACCAGCACTGAGTACAAAGGTGAGCAGGCTGCCACCCTCCAGGGTCAACGTGTGTATCAGAGAGGGACTGAAGACTCAGGGACAACTAGGGAGCATGTTTCAACCGCATATAGGAAATGTTATTTGACCTTTGTCTGTATCTATTGTGACAAAGTGACAAAGCTTTGGTTCATACAGAAAGAGAAATTTGCTGAGAAGACTCCAGAGAAGTCAAAATTTCCCAAAAGTAGTAGCAATAACCTTAGTTTAATGTACAGGCAGACATACAGACAAATATTTATAGAAAACTTAAAACTCAAAGTGATAAACGTCCATTTGGAAAATACTAGGTAGAACTTAACCCCAGCTGTGGAGCAGAATGTCGGGGCGTCTGTGGGATTCCTAATAGGTACCCAAGGTTGTATACATTTACATTCTTCTAGGAAGGAGGTCAAATCAGAAATTCAAAGGGGTTCATGACCCCAATAGCAAAATCCACTCCATTAGGAAGAATTATTTTTTTCCCAGTATTTTTTTTTAAGATTTATTTATTTATTCATACAAGCACTGGGTACAGTCAGAAGCGCAGGAGGGTGAGAGAATTCACCAGAGCCAGAGTGGAGAGCAGAATAGGCAGAGTGACAAAGTACACTGCTGAGGGGAGCAGCAGGTGGCAGGAGAGGTCTGCACGCCATGTGGGACCCTCACCTGGCGGCCGGGGATCAAATCGGCGCTGCTGAGGCTGTGCACAGCTTCGCAGCCCAGCGCAGCGCTCAACCGCTGCACCACCAGGGGAGGCCCCAGGAAGAATTATTAATTATCATTATTAATAACTGCTAGTGCTTAAGGACAATCCAGCTGCAAAGAACTTACCTGAAGTTCTTGTTGGAGTTGCTTGATTTCCATAATTTCCAGGTCACACTGCTTATCCAAAACTTCCAGCTCAGTCTTTTGAGTTTGCTTTCTGAGCCGCACGTCTTGTAGTCGGCCTGAGACTTGTTGGTGTTTTCCATTCTATAGGAAGAGCACAGAACACAAGGTAACATAAACAGCTGCTAGGAAATGTTCCTATCAGGACAATAATATTTCTATTTAAATGTCCTTTATCACTTATGCTTAATCTGAGATAAATGTTTAAAATTTACATGCTTTATATATGCATATACTTATATGCTTTAGAGTTGTATCTGCTAACTTAAGAGAGTTATTAGCAGGAGATACTATTCTTAGAGCTCAAAGAGCTTATGGATTAAGATGAGAAAGCAATAACACACTGAATTTGTTTCTGAAGTCAGCATTTAGGCCTTCACATCTAATATTAAAATAGAGACTTCAAAGACTTTGAGGTTTCAAAGAGTAATAGGACGAGTAAACGTTTGCACGGAATAGTTCGCATTACCTTCCCTGAGTTCTATTTCTACCCTCACTGCTGCTGTCTAATTTCTGCTAGTGTACAGGAGGGACTTTCTGGCACAGTTCTCTTCTATACAAATATTTCTTACTTCTTCTTGTGAGATATGGGGGGGGGGGGCGGGGGAACCCAGACAGACAGTAGAGAGGCTCAAAGGGGATAAGAAGGATGGGGTGAAGTGTTAAAGGCTAAATGTACCCCACCACCCCAATTACATGTTGCTGTCCTAACCCCAGGAGCTCAAAGGTGATGCATTTGGAGATAGGGTCTTTACATGAGGTCCTAGGGGTGGCTCCTAATCCAGTCTGACTGGTATTCTTACTAGAAGAGAGGAAGCGCTCAAGGAGCACACACAGGAATGGCCACAGCAAGAAGGTGGCTATGTGCAAACTTAGGGGAGCAGACTCAGAAGAAACCAAAGCTGCTGACACCTTGATCTTGGAATTCCAGCCTCAAGAACTGTGAGAAAATGAGTTTCTGCTGGTTCAGCTACCAAGTCTTTGGTATTTTGCTACTGTAGCCTTGGCAAGCTAATACAGTGGGGTGAAGATAAAGGAGATTCCTGGCTAAAAATCCCTGATAATGGAAGTTATTACCGAAAAGAATGTTTCATATTTGAGAAATCCATGCTAACAGGAAAACACTGTTTCACCCTATAGTTTGCTGTTATCTCTAGCATCTATAAATATGCTGAAGGCTCTGGAGCTTTTCCATACTCTGCACATTAATCTATGCTATGGCTTGGTGCATCGTCCAGTAAATTGCCAAAATGACCAACACAAGTGGAGAGAGGGGAGATCCCGGCTATATGTTCTCTAGGCCTTTCAAGAAACATAGAGCTGAATGTGTGAATCTACAAGAAAGGTGACACTGCAGACGTCAAGGGGATGGGCATTGTTCAAGAGGGAATGCCCCACATGTGTTACCATGGCAAAACTGAAGATGTAATTATGTTACCCAGCATGCAGCTGGCATTGGTGGAAACAAACAAGTAAAGGGCAAGAATCTTGCCAAGAGAACTAACATTCCCATTGAGCATATTAAGCATCTAAGAACTTAATAGCTTCCTGAAATGTGTAAAACAAAATGGTCAGAAAAAAAGGAAGCCAGAGAGAAAGTTGCTTGGGTTCCACTGGAGCGCCAGCCTGCCCCACCCAGAGCAGCACATGGTGTGAGACTGCTGGAAAGGAGGCTGAGCTGCTGGGAGCCACTCCCTATGCATCATGGCACAAAAGTGTGGAAAAAAATAATAAAATGCCTCTGAAGTATTAAAAAAAAGAAAGAACCACAGTCCTGCTGTGATATGAGATCATTTGGGTCAGCAGTTTCAAATCATTTTTTTCTTTTTAGCAACAGAATGCTTTTTTGCAAATAAATGTAAGTATAAAACCCTCATACATAGAGCAGATAAACATGAAAAGAACTACAGCTTGTATGCGCGGAGGCATGGGAAGAACAGGGGAGAGGAGAGCAATGTCTTGCCACCAGGACTTCCTCTCTACCTTCTGGTTATCTTTCTGTAGATCATCTTCCAGAGAAAACTGAAAACTATAAACTAGTGCAACCCTTTATTTTACTGTTGGGCAAAGGGAGGCATAGAAGAGGGAAGTGTCTTGTCCAAGGGTGCGTAGCTTATTGGCATCTCAGCTGAGACCACAACAGAATTCTCAGCATCTTCAGTCACTATCTTTTTTCAATGAACTGTACTGTCAAGACTGTTACTGGGTTGTCTGAAAAGTCATGATGCCTTTATGTTTGAAAAACATAGAAAAAGATAAGTCATGACTTTTCCGAACCTAATAGTTAAAAAGCAAATATAAAAATATAAATACATAATACAGTAAAACATATTTACAAGGCAGGTTTTAAAAACAGTGACATTTTTCAATAGGTAACATCATTTGGATAAATTTCACTTAAATTTTAGCCATACCAATACTTCCAACTCGAGATGAAGACTCTTCTTTTTAGATTTTAACCTCACAATTTCTTCCTGTTCTCTATTCCTTTGATTGAGAAGCTCCTGCCGACGAATCCTCTCCCATTCTAACCGGCGCTGCCGTTCAAGTTCCTGTTTTGCTGCCTGAAAATAATGAATTAATTTTTAAATGAACAATTTTGCATAATTCATTATTTTCAGGCAGGGATGACAAAGATAAAGGTGAGGCAGAGTTGAACCTGAGTGCCTACGGGTAACTGGCAGTTCTAGTTTGATCAGTGGGCCTAGACTAAAGACTTCCACAAAGCAACTTTATCCACCAGCCTTTTTGATTGTTTCTCAGAACCATTCTCTTGTTGCTGTTACTTTTCTCTTAATAAGCAAAGGGCTGATTTCATCAATATAAATGCTAACAGGAATGATTACACCTTCATTCTGATATTTGTGCACTATTTCAGTGTGCTGCAATTTACTGTGCTCCATCCAGAGCACTTTGAAGCACAGCTGGTCCTCCTGGAGACCCCACATACCACTGCCCAAGCCTACTCTCTCTTTTTTTTGTTAAAGATTTATTTATTTATTTATACAAGCACTGGGTACAGTCAGAAGCGTGGGAGGGTGAGAGAATTCACCAGAGCCAGAGCGGGGAGCAGAGCAGGCAGAAGGACCGAAGTACACTGCTGAGGGGAGCAGTGGGCGGCAGGAGAGGTCTGCGCGCCATGTGGGACCCTCCTCCAGTGGCCGGGGAGCAGCTGGGGATCGAACCGGCACCGCAGAGGCTACGGGCAGCTTTGCAACCCAGCGCTCAACCGCTGCGCCACCGGGGAGGCCCCCACGCCTACTCTCTTGATTTGCCTCTCCACCTCCAACGCCTGACTCTCATCTTTCCATCTCCAATTCCATCTCTTAATCTGGACCCTGAACTTCTGTTCAGTGACCTGCTCAGAGGGATTCATTCCCTCCTCTGGCTCACCAACTTTAGCTCCTCACTCAACTCAGCTTTGCAACCAATCCTTCTTCGACTGATGTTAGCTGCAGAAATGTCTTCTCTACAGTACTGGCCCCAAAACCTATCCCTTCTAAACAAGGGCCTTCTTCCCGCCACAAGGGAAGGAAGATTTGTGTAAGAGTGAATGAATGACACAGAGGAAAAGACACAATAACCATTTCTTAAATCAAATGAGATATAGTCACGGTTAAAGGTAACGATTTTTCTTAGGAAATAATTTAGAAATAACCTCTCGTCTTTCTATCTCTTTTCTCCTTTCTTCTTCCCGTTGTCTTTCCAATTCTCTCTGCTTCTCCAAGCGTTTTTCTAATTCGAGTTGTTTCTTCCATTCTTGCTCTTGTAATTCTCGCTGCTTCCGTTCCCACTCTTCCTTTTCTTTCTGGGCCTTCCGCTCCGCCTCCCTCTGCTGCTGCTCCATCAGGGCTTGGCGGCGCTTCTCCAGTTCCATGTTCCCTCGCTCATAGTTGGCTTTGCGCTTGTCCTCGAAGGTGACTAAATGGGGTACACGCACCATAAGCATCCTCACACGCTAAGAGCCAACAGAACCTGGAATCTAGTCAACACCCTCGCACCTGGCCTTCATCTGAGGGCTACTACTCTGGACATTTTCAAGGAAAAGTAAAACAAATGTCAATACTAAAATATTTAGTTTTCTAAATTGTTCCTTTTTAGAAAATAAATTTCGAAGCTTGAATCCACCCAAGTGAGAAATGATTTTACTATTCCTGCCAATAAAAAAATAATTCTCAGAAATTTTCTTTAAGGATCATCAAAGCTGTGTGACTACACATTGGATATTTTTGATAAGCCTTTAACTTTAATATTTTAAACATCTACATACATATGTTTTCAACCAATACATAAACATTTTTTTAAAGCTAGAGATTTTATTACAGGGCATGTTCTAATATATTTCTCCTAAAGTGGGAGAAACACTTTTACTAGGATGTCTAATATCTACACTCTTGCCAAATACTCACACTGTCCCTTTCTCCTATATACTCTTCTCAATTTTGACTTCTCTTAATTTTACGTTCTTAATGATGATTAGAACCCTCGCAACCATTAAATGGTTTTCTCATTTTATATAAAATATTAAAAACACACAAACCCTAAATATTTACTTACATTTCATGTAAAATTTAAGAAAAATCACTATAAAAGTATCTCTTAGAAATTCAGTGTTACCTGGTAATTTTTTCTGAGGTTCCTCTTCTTGTATTTTCTGATATGAAGACAGAGTTCCATTAATAGAATCAATTTGCTTTCCTCCTCTAAGAAAAGCAAATGACAAATTTAACAACCTGCAGTCTGGGAATATTTAGACTAGATTATACAGACTACCACTGATTAGAACAATTTAATATTTGGAATTTAGTATTAAAGATATTTAAAACACAATATGGTCTGCATTTATAGTGCATAGCAGTTGTCAAGCCAGAGAGATTTGAATTCAAATCATTTTTCAGCTAATTGCTATTCTTGGCTAAATTTATTTTTTAAATTCCTTTGGTCATCACATTCCTTGTCTAAAAACACACCTACTCCTAATATGGACTCGTTCCCGTTGTAAATCATTAAATATCAAAATCAAATGGCAGTGTCAGTAGTTAATAGAGGCCTCAAAGTAAAAATTCAGTCTGTCAAGGGATAAAGTCACACTTCCTCACCTCCAGACTCACTCACCTGAAGGATGGAGGGACCAGCTCGGGAGGTAAGGTCAGTGGCAGTGGCTGTCCAGCCTTGGCCATATCAGTGAGGTGCATCGCAAGGATAAACTCTTCAGCTCTTAGTTGTCCATCCCCATCTATGTCTGCCAGGGTCCTGAAGAAATTGGAAAAGTCCCAACTTAGAAAGTCTACTTGATTAAAATATATTCAGAAGAGTTCAATTTTTCATTTTTTTTTTTAAGATTTATTTATTTATGTATACAAGAACTGGGGTAAATGTCAGAGGCGCGGGAGGGTGAGAGAATTCACCAGAGACAGAGTGGGGAGCAGAACAGGCAGAAGGACAGAAGCAGCAGTGGGCAAGGCAGGAGAGATCTGCTGCTCCATGTGGGTTTCTCCCTGGCCGGCCGAGAATCGAACCCGCGCTAATGAGGCTGTGGACAGCTTCACAGAGTGGTGCTCAACCTGCTGCGCCACAGGGGAGGCCCCAATTTTTCATTTTTTCATTTTTGAAAGAGGAATAATGACAGATAAACATATTTGGATAAACATATTTTTAGATAAACATATTTCAGCAAAATGTAAATACATACAGAAAAAGCGAGCCAATTTTTTACCACTAATTTTCTTATCACAAGAGAGGGAAGGAACTTTGAAAGAGAAGGAAAATATTCTTTCTGAAAAGGTGGCTTGTGTTGTTTCATGGTTAATTCACCAATCAAGTCATATTTAGCTATACATTAAAAATGAGATATTCTCTAATTCTCCACAGAAGGCATTGTATGAAAAGCAAATTTGTTCTACTTATAAAATAATTAAATGCCAAATTCTCAAGAATATGATTTTGCACAATTTTATCTGGTTTCAAGGTTACATTAACTTTCAAATGGTTGCTTTATGAAACATCTTTGAGTTGTAATTTTTTATAGAAACAGTATCATTCTTACAATAGAGAATGTATAGTCAAAAACCCTAAGTAACAAACATACTCACCAAATAGTAGCTAGTTGGGTTTGAGACAGATTTGACTGAAGAAGGGCATTTCTAGCTTGAAAACCTGATTGGGTGGGAAAAACCATTAAAAAGGAATTTTTAGCCTCTTTCAAAGTCATGCAACCTAAATAGCCATACCTATAAAAATAATACTGCTGTTATTCTGGGAACTTTTAACATCAGAAAGTTTTGATGCCAGGTAATGATGACAAACATTGTCCTGTCCCAAGGAGTTGAAAATCTAGAATCAGTGGGATCAAGTATTCCAGGTGTCCTTTCACAGTAACTAAAGGTAACAGCACAGAGGGTAATTGCCCTGACCGCAGATGAGCCCTGGACTCGGAGTAGTAGAGATGCTCAGAACCCAGGGCAACCTCAAGAACAGGGTCCTTCACACATTCCCAGTTTTTCTCTTATCTCTCCAATCATTCCTTTGTCTCTTTGACCTGTAAATGTTGGCATTTGGGATGGGTGAGTCCTTAGGTTTCTTTCTCTGTATGGTCATATCCATTCCATGGACTGATAGCACTCAGAGGCTGATGACTCCCAAATGTACACCCCCAGCCCAAAACTCTATGTTTAGACTTCTAAATCCAACTGAAAATATCTACCTACATATTTCACAGGCATATCAAACCCATTGCGAATAAAATCATGCTCTCAATCACCATTCACACCTCCTTCCCAATAATCTTCACCCAAACCACTGTCCCTGAGTTTTCCTTTGCTCTGAATGGCATCACTGTCCAGTGGTGCAAGTCAGTAGTCAGAAAGTCACCTTCAACCCTTTCCTCTCCTGTGTGTCCACAGCCAAGCCAACATTAAGCCCTACAATTCTATATCACTGCATATCTGAATCTTTCTTACCATGTAAATCACAATTTAATGTCACCTTCTCAGAAAGATTTTCTGTCTCTCCACCATATCATCCAATATATGTCCTGATTGCTTCATGTCTCCTATCACAATTTGTAATGTAACATCTATCTGCTTATTTGTCTCCCCCCCCTCTAATTGTTAAGTTCTTTGTAGACAAAAACACTGATTACATTATTAACTAATGGATATCCCAAGCCTGGTACATAGATGCTTAATAAATATTTGCTAAAGTAATAAAGTTGATATCCAAAGATATCAGCAGATATGTGATACAATGAATTACTCTAAATAAGTATGAATTACTCTAAATAAGTATTCATGGAATAAGTAAGGGAAGAACAAAAGGAAGAAAATCCACGAGTTGCTAGAGTCACTGAACGAAGCTGGGGTACATACTCATTGTCAAAACACCAGAAACAACTACTCTTTTCAAAGAAAATGCTTCCCTTAGCTATGGACATATTGCTTTACCCATGTGAGTCTCACAGTCCTAACACTGTCTGGAAACAACACAACTGTCATACAAAAGGACATATACAAATAACGCAACATCGAGGGATCATTTCCTCACAATTGGCTACTGCTGCTATTCACATTCCAAAACAAACCCGCCTTTGTTTATACTGCATGTCAGCAGTACACCCAGAGTGTACTAATCTTAAGTGTAGTGCCTGATGAATTTTTACATAGGTATGCACACCCATATTAAGTTAAGGAATGTTTCCAGAAGTTAAGGAACGTACACCAGAGGGTTCATGCATGACCCCATCCCAGAAGAGTAACCACGCTACTCTGACTTATATTACCATCAATTACGCTTCCTCTTTTTCATAATAGAGACCTTTCGTGTCAGGCTTCTTTTACTCAAGATACTATCAATGAAATGCATTCAGGTTGTAGCATATTCATTTCATTTATTTTTGTTACTCTACTTATCCAGTTTCCTGTTGGTGGACATTTAGGTTGCCTTTTTTGGATGCTTTGAATGAAGCGTCCATGAACAATTTGTTTTCATCTTTTTAATGCACTTTTGTTAATTTGAGAAAAAAAATTTTTCATGCAAAATGTGGGGTCCAAAGAAGTTCATTTTTTTCAAAGATGGAAATCATGACATCACATTAATCTCAAGTATGTTTGAAAACTGTATTTTACAGACTTGAAGATGCCATTAATTTTAAGACACATCATTATGATATATCAGACTAAGGAAGAAAAAACACTGCCAATCAAACTGTTTGCTTGTCCAGTCAATTCCAATAGTCACATTCCTCCCTTGCCCCACTGCAGATCTAGAGACCCAGCCTCCTAATTTATTTATTTATTTATTTTTAATAGAGGCATGTTATTTATTTATTTGTTTGTTTGTTTTTGTTTATACATGCACTGGGTACAGTCAGAAGCGCGGGAGGATGAGAGAATTCACCAGAGCCAGAGTGGGGAGCAGAGCAGGCAGAAGGACCGAAGTACACTGCTATGGGGAGCAGCGGGCGGCAGGAGAGGTCTGCGCGCCATGTGGGACCCTCTTCTGGTGGCCGAGGAGCAGCCGGGGATCGAACCCGTGCCGCAGAGGCTGCAGGCAGCTTCGCAACCCAGCGCTCAACCTCTGCGCCACCGGAGATCCCAGCCTCCTAATTTAGACTCCTTTTCATTCACCAAACATGTTGTGTACTTTTTGCTCTTAAGATTTCTTGTGTGTCACCCATTCTCCTTCATTCTCCATCAGTCCAAATCCTAACTTCATTTTGTCATGCAGTTTAAATGTTTGCTGCCCACAAGATGTTTGATCTGATGCTTCAGTACAACTATCTCCCAAGCTAAGTTCTCTAGAACTTTAAAGCTCTATCACTTTTAAATACTTATTTTACTCTGCCCTAAACTGTAATTTGTTGCTGACTGAAGGGATAGGGGTAAAGTTAAGAGATGGGAACCTTATCGTTTGTTTATATTTCTTTCACTATGCTCAATAAACAAAGTCTGGATAATTTCTTGTTTGAAATCAAATGTCCAATGGGAGCTGAAGTCAAGTTTTATGGCCACATTTGGGTTGGGGCACTAAAAAATGAGCAATGTTCACATGGCAAGAAGATTTTTAGGGAAGAGAATCTCAGGAAAGAGAACTAAGACAAAGTCCCACATACTCATCATTTGAGGTTCTCCATTCCCTGCCTTGGAGGATAAGATTTGATCTTAAGGTCTTTTTTCCCCAAAAAGTTGGGGCTACATCTGTGCTCAACTTGTTTGGAAGAACTTTGGAGGAAGCAATCAAGTCATATCTACCTCTGGACTCTTATACAACTTACAGTATTTCTATTTATTACATGCCTACTATATATTTTTTTGCTGTTAAACCTTTAGATGAGCTACAAAATACACATTCAAATAAAAGTGCTTCAACAGAAGTTCCTATCAAAAACTTAATTTTCTCATATTCTTAAGCACCATATGCCACTTACCTGAGAGGTATCCACTCATGCTTTTGTCAAGACTATTAAATTTTTGCCGATATTTTAATCTTGAAGGCTGAGGAACTGCCCACTCTGAGGTCCCAGTCTTGGGCGAGTTCCCTGAGAGTGAAGCAGTTGAGGAAGTTGAGCTATAACAAAATTTATTTAAAGTTTTCATGTTACTAAAGAAAATACATTTACTTAAATTTTATAAGGCAGAGATATATCATCCATGTTAGTAATTGGTTTTGCATTTGATATCAAAAAAGATTAAGCAACTACCTTATTCTTAGTAGAGCAAAGACTATATGCAGTATAGAACTTGCATATATCAAGAAACCAGCCCCTATGTGTGTGAGGGCCTTTACAGAGATTATTTACAATCTCACAGCAAACTTAAAAGGCATCACTGTTCCCATCTCTTTAAATAGGAACACTACGGCTCAATGAAGTTAAGGGAAAACACAGGTACACGACCAGTGAGTGTTTAAGTTAGGATATAATTGGATCAGAGCTAATACTCTTTGTACACTGCCTTAAACAGTTTTATAGTGATTTATATGAGGGGTAGTGAACACTGATGCTTTTGTGATTTCTGAAATTTAAAAGATAATTAACAGTGTTCAATAAAGAGATTAATAAGTACAGTGATTATGAGATATTTTCAGAAGCACATATTTTTATTTTTATTTTATTTTCAAACCAGCACCACCAGAAGCACATATTTTTTTAAGGAAAACTATGTACCTTTAGGAAAAATACTGACTGACTAAATATATAGCAGGGTAGTTTTAGTTTATATGAAATAATTTTTTCAAAAGTAAAATGACAATGTATTTAATATGAGTTATAACTAGTAAATTCACCTTAAGTATTTACATTTGGCCATTATAAAATACAACATGGATAAGCTCAGGGATTAAAAAAAAAAGTCACTTGGTAAATGCTCTATTAAAAACCTAAAAAGTCAGCAGTTTGATGTATTCATACCTACTAGATCCTAGATCAATCAGAGACTGGGCTTTCTGTATACTAGCACCACCAAATCCTCCCATCATCAGACTGTAAGATGACGCATGAGGCAATGCTAAAACAAAGAAAGAAGGTTTGCATGAAACATTACAAAGCCTGAAGAAAATTTGTGTCCATTGGAACAAAAATAAAGCTTCTTTCTTTATATGAAATACTAACTCATCAGACCTACAGCACTTACTTGAAGAAGAATAAGGAATGGATAAAGGCTGAATGAGACTTGCTGTTCCATTTGGTAAAGAAGATGTGCTTACAGAAGGCACTAGGGGAGCAGGCATCATCAGGGGAGGGAGGGTGGTCCCTGAAGTCGCAGACGACAAGGGCGTTGTTATAGGTGCAACGGGAGGCAGCGACTGAGGAATGGACAGGTTGGGCATGCTTCCCATTCCTACAGACAAAACAGAACACGGTCTCCAGTGCTAGTAAAGTGACAACAAAACACAAGCCAAAAAACAAGATTACAATACAGTGAGCAGATCCAATATTTATGGGAACACTATGGGAAAACTATCAAGCCAAAAAATTCACTACAGCAGCTTTGACCCAGTAGTGAAGAAGGTCAACTATGGCTTTTAATAGCAATAATCTGGTCTGTGTGAATTAAGGGAATGCCTACTACGGAGTTAAACATTCTCTTCTAGCATCATAAATAAAACTTTTTCCAATTAAATATTAGAATCCTCAAAGAGAAAATGTATTACCTCATCAAATGTGTTTTTTGTGTGTAAGAATAATAAACACAGTGTTATTGAGTTACCGAACAGTAACACACACACTCACTCCCCAGAACTACCCCTCCAAAAAAAGTGTGCTAACTAGAGTAATTACTTTAAAAAGCAAAGTTTTAGGAGACCCACTTATGCATACCCACTATTTGCAAGAAGAAACTATACCAAATACCTCACTTTTCTTATAAACAACACACCTGCAGATTAAAGGATAATTCTTTAAAAGGAACAAAGTGCTGACTGTTTGTTCATTTACTAACTATGGAATATTAAGTAAACTATACAAATATGGTCACACAAGGTTTTGGTATTTGTTTCTAGAGATCATCAAATAGTAAAAGAACGTAGTATTTTAAGATGTAACCTCTGGAATGAAGAAACATGTTTGGATGTATAGAGGTACTCATTGAGTGTTCCATTCAGTGAGTGCTTTTCCCATATAATTAATAAGAAATTGGGTAATTGAAATTAATGGAAAACATCATTCTCTGAAGAATAAGTAAATTAATTAGTACGAAGTCTGCAACTTATAGCACTAAATTTAGCTGGCTAATTAACCTTTAAAATAAAGAAATTTCTACTTTTGCATAATTTTAAATTCTCCCCCCCCCCATCAAACCATTTCAATTGAGTTTAAAATTGTTCACATTTTTTTCTGTTACTTTATATAGAGTATAGAGGAAAACTAATTAAGAATAGTATTTAGGATTAGCTATAACAAGATCATATAATTTATACCCAAGTCAAAGATAGATGTCAGGGCAAAAGATACAAAACCATCCCTGGAAAATTGTACCCAGGAGCATGCCAGCTATGACAGCAGTCTAAGACTTCTTATTGCAAGCAAAGCAAAGGGACAAAAGAAAACTCTTGAGATCTGCCGCTAGAACTGAGGCTACCAGAAGAGGGCACGGGAGCAAAGTGGGGAGGGGGTGCAACGGACTATGGTGAAGGATTACTAGGACTCTGGTGGTGGTTGTGGTATCATAACACACATTTGTAGAGGTGTGACCTTACTCCTAAAACATATGCATTGCTGTAAACTAACGTCACCTCAGTCAACTTAATTTTTAAACAAATATAATTTCTTATCTTAGACATAACAATGAACTTGTAGTCTAGGGACTGTGATTTTATGCAAACAAATCCTTTTCTAACCCTCAAATATTATGCCTAGGAATCAAGTTAAGTACCAAATGGGATAATTAAATTAATAAATGCATACCAAAACGAGCAGAAATTAACGGAGAGAACATAGGAGGCTGCTTCATAATGGGAGGAAGAACCATGGGCAGCTGTTGGCCTTGAAGCTTTAGTTTGATGAGTTTCATAGCTATGGAGAACTCCTGCTGATCCATCTTCCCATCCTTGTTCAGGTCTGATAAAGCCCTAAATGGACCATAAAGTAAACAGATTGGTACATGGGGTCAACATTACTTTCAAGAATGATAAAATAAAAACATGTGTATCATCTCTTAGTTTACTTATATGTATATATGTATATAAATATTCATATATATAAAACAAAAAGCTAATCTTGTACATTAAGAAATTCTGACAAGAGGTAGTAGCATCTAATACAATCCTACCAGGTCTATATAGTATCTATAGAGATCTTTGGGATGAATTCCACCAAGTGTGGAAGGAAAAAATTATTCAAGAGTAAAATCAATCTAAATTTTATTTATTCATGTGTCAAATATTTATTGAACGCTTGCTGTGTTCCTGGCACTATGCCAGGCAGGGGAATATTCCAACCAAAAACAAAGATGGGGCAGGGACTGGTATTTATTGTAAATATATTTAAAAACAAAACCCGCACTCTTATAGAGAATAATTTCCTTAAGATAGGAGGAAGAGTTTATAAGATGACAAAATTAATAGAACAACTACAAATTAACAGAAAATAAGATTTTGAGACTGCCAATTATAAAGAATTATTTTGATAGCAACATATATATCTTTCTTCCTTAGAAATACTAAGGAAATTAGAAATCTGTCCTACAGCACAAAACCCCAACTATTTTCATTTACTCAATAAAATTTATTTTATGAAAAGTTGAAGAAATACTCAGTAACAACAGACTGCAAGTAAAAACAACTTTATGTTAATACTCTATGAAGAACAATTGAAAAATCACTCTGCCACAATTTCCATTTGCCTACGAAAGAAAATACTTTACCATATTTCAGCTAAGATAGGAGCTGGCAGTCCTGACTGTAAGAAAAAGGTACGTGCTTGATCACCTGAAGGTAACAAAAACAAAAGCCAAGCAACAGATTAGTCGATGGAATTACTCCAATAATAGGCAATAACAACATTAATTGTACATAATGTTATTGATTTATAATTTTAATTCCAATCATTAAAAAATATATTAAACAGATATGAGTCATTTTTTAATTTAAATTTTTTGGTAACCTTTTTTACTGGGGTAAGTTAACAATACTGTTTATGATTTAGGGGTACTGATAATACTTTAACGAGATTTATTTTTTAAACAAAAACGTCACAACTGAAGCTATACTTAGCTATCAGTGATGAAAGATTACTTCTTTCACCTTGTTAATCCACAATAATTGGAGGCTTAATTGATAATATTTTTATTTAATAAAACTTAAGAGCTAAAAACGCTATTCCCAAAACAGTTCTAAATAAAATATAAGCTAGTGGGGAGAGTGAGTCCTTCAGGGGTCTCCCGCAATCCCCACGTCCTACTGGAAATGCCAGGACTGGAGACTCCCGCTGATCTCTGCTGGGATCATTTTTCAGAACTGGGTTGGCAGTTAAAGACCAGATAATAGTTCCCTCTGGGACAAAGAACAAGCTTGCTTACTGCTTGCTAACAAATGGTAGATTTCCCCAAGCTCAGTGTTCCTTTCCTCCCACCACCCTCCCTCCCCTACCCCCAAGCAGCAGTCCTCTGGGCTCCCTGCAAGGAGGGAGGGTGCTCAGAAGACAAAAGCATGCCCACACTCATGTGGCCAGCTGTGCCATTAGTGATGAGGTCCTCTGTCTCCAACCAGGAATCTCAGGACTCTGATTAACTTCTAAGTATGGTAATCAAATTCCAGTCCCATACCCAGTCCCAGGAGCTACTGTTACACACACACACACACACACACACACACAAAACATTAAACTATAAAAGTTACGAGGATGGATACCAAAGTCAGATTTCAAAGCCCAGATCAACACTAACCATCATCTCTGTGACCTTACATATATGTCACAACATCTCTAAGTTCCAGTTTCACCATCAATAAATACAGAACAGTAACTACCTCATAGGGATGTTGTGAAAGTTAAATGAGAGAATGCATTCAACACAGCATGTGACAGGTCAGTGTTAGCTACTCAAGTTTGCTATAAATACGGCACTCAGGTGCTTTGGTACAGGGAGAAAAGTTTCAATTATAAAAACATTGGAAAGACATAATTAAAAATTAATCCTCTTTGACTCTGAAGGGTTTTGGGGGGGCAAAAAAAAAATAACTTGGTATACAGCCTCTCAAAGGCAGAGAATTAGCATTACAAAAACAGGTTCCAGGAAAAAATTCTATATTATCTTCAAGAAAATGGAACTGATATTAATACTGATCATTATGTTAGCAACTGGCAGGACATATTAAGAGCATATTGACAAATTTTGGGGGGAAAAAGTCTTAATTACCTTAAGAAATAAATTATGAATTTTCTAAAAATAATGCTAAAATGTGAAACTGGACATTTAAATCTAAAATTATTAACTAGGGTCAAGAAAATATCTTCCATGTGCGAAATTCAAAACCACAATTTAAAATTAGTAAAATAAGAAAGCCACTTCTTTGAATTCTAGAATTCTGATTGATTCTTAATTCTAAAATTCTAGTGAATCTTCTTAATCAAATTCGATGGCAGGTCAAATTTAAATGAATTCTAAAATGTAACATGAAAGGGAGTCTAACCCACAATTAAAATATAAACACAAACCAGTTATGTAACCTCCAGAGGGTTTGAGGTTATCAAATTGCTTGTCATGCTTAGTCCGTTCTTCAGAGGTAATAGCCCACATATTTGGCCCTCCTAAAACATAAGACAAAGAAATTAGTGTTTATATGAGAATGCTCCAAATACAATCCTAAAATACAAATTTGATCACGAGTATTCATTTAATGGCAGTACCCGACACCTGAGGGACGGAGGGCAAAGCTCCACTGTCACCACACATAGCACCACACAGCCCTGAGACTCTGCCCTCAGAAGCCCAAACAACATCCATGGAACCACCACTGCACAGCACCCACCAGAAATGGGCACAAGCTACATTCCAGAAATAAAACAACAATAAAATCTCCTCATCCTCAAGGGTGGGAATCCTTGAAAACAAACATAAGTGTTTAGGGTAACCTGTTTAGAATCAACCCTATGCAGAAACACACACAAAAAGCCGAGTGAGACGCACTGAGAATGAGAAAGCAGGAGAGATGTGGCGGACTGAGGCAGAGCCCTGAAGCCTGGCTTGAATTCTGCCAGCTGAAGGGCATTTCAGAGAAAGGCCCAGCAGAGAAGCCAGGGCATGTGCAGGACGTGAAAGGTGCCCTGGATAGACCAGGAACTAAAGCACCATGTGGGGGTGAGAAAGTGGCAAGAAATAGGTAGATGGATTTCATTCTGAAGGGTTTTAAATACCATCCTCAACGACCTCACCTTTGCCCTGGAATTATAGGAGACTCTGGTAACTTTTAAAATAGCCTTCTTTATTCAGAGTAATTTTAGATTTATGGAGAAGCTGCAAAGAGAGTACTGAGCTCCCATATACATGTCACCCAATTTCCATTATACTAACAATTTACATGACCATGGTACAAATAAATGAGCACTGGTATACTGCTGCTAGTTAAACTAAATATCCCAACCAGCACGACTGGCTGGTAAACCCCAACTAACTTGGACTCTGGTTTTCGAGACAGAATAAGCCTTTGTGACTGAGTATGTCACCAACTGGTGCCTCTGGCACAGGGAAGAAACCTGCTTTTAGCTTTAAGGCCCAAATGCTTGACTTGGGAGGCCTCAGTTGACTCTCCAGTCTTACAGTCCTATTTTTGGATGGGTCACCTTGAGTTTTAGAACTAATTAGGTAAGCAGTACCCCACAAGGCTTACCTGTCAAGTGAAAATGTTTTCTTCAAGAAAACTGACAGCCAGGCCCCAAGAGCATCTACACTTTACATGAAAAAGTGCCAGCTGTCCCGCTGAGGGAACACACAGCTCCTACTCCACTATCTGAAGCACAGCACCCAGAGCAACCGCTCATCCAGCTCCCTCCGGGTGCTTGGGCCTGTCCACTACTGGTTCAGAGAAGCTAAAGCCAGTGGTTGTCCACGCGCAGCTGTGACCTGTTCCGTCTCAGAGCTGTTTGGCCTCAGAGATACGCAGAACTAAAAGCAAACACGGGCATTCTGTTCAGTGGGCAGGACTCAGATTCTTGGGCTGTTGCCAGTGGCCCAGCTGTTTGCTTTACCATTTGGAAAATTACAAACAACAGATTAAAGACACCCTTTGGGGGCTGCTAACTGAAAACAAATTTTAATTGCTAATTGAATGGTCTGGGTCATTTTTGTAGATAACCATGGTAAAAGCCCATTCTTTGATTTAGAGTGAATTCAAGGTACTGATTAAGTCTAATGCTATGTTTCTGACTGCATACTACTTGTAATGTGTGTGCATGTGTATGTGTGTGCAGGTCTCACTGCATGAAGCAGTGTCCCCTTTGGCTCTTGGCAAACTAATTACATGAAATCTTTGACCGCCGCCCCCCCACCCCACACCCCACACACAGACACTACTGGTGGTGCCTCAAACTGCTGACACTTTCAGCTTACCAAACAGTCCATGAAGTTCCTATCTTCTGTGGCCTCTGAAACTAGCATATCATGTCTTCAGCTTTCTGGACCATTTGTACTCTGACCTTGACATATCACTTATCATAACAGTTACTCAACAATGCACTGATGTCTGGCTCTATTTCTACCACCTCCTCCTAATCCACACTCATTAAAATAAGATAGTTTGGCCACTGAATGAGGCTGTCCCAGAAAGGGATCAGCATTAATTCTTGGCTGCTTCCTGGCTAATGATCAGGACTGTAGGTCATAGGGGACATATTGACCTACTATGAAAATTCAGGATCTGTCCTGACCATTCTTGGACAGATGCATCTTTCTTTCTCCTAATAGCAACTGCGGGCAGGCGTGGTTAGATACCCTCCAGATGGCAATTTAGCTAAAAAGGAACGTAGATGATTCAAAGCACCTTCTGGTAAGGGTTTACAAAAATGTCCCTTTCCCTCTTGTACCTAACCCTTCTGGATCACTAGAAAACAGTGAAGTTGTGATTATATGGAACACCCAGATTTTGTGGAGGAGGAGACCCACAACCCAGAATGTGAGGGGGAAACACCTTAAACCAGAAGATGTACAGGCGAGAGGCATTGCCAGCCTTCTCTCTCAGAACTGTCCCAGAGCCTTCATCCCCAAGGAAAATGCCTGTTGTGGCTCTCCCAAACTCTTGGGAGCACCTTAAATGCAACTGACTGCTGAGCCTGCATCCCCTACCAGATGTCCAATCCACACTCAAGTCTTAGGCAGGCCCCAGGTGCCTGGGTCCTGGGGGTGTGGATGTCTCTGTGTTCCTACCCCTCCACCTTGTGACATTCAACCCCTCCCTGAGTCTGGCTGGTCTTGGCAAAGACTATCCAGCTGCTTGCCCAGCAGTGAAGGAGCAATACCTCTACTTGTTATTGGTATAAGTTCTTAGGACCAAGACTTCCTCACCCTCCCTCAGTGGTACAGGCTTTTCTTCTGCCCTTACCCTAGCAGCAAAGTATCTCTGCCTCAGTCCCTGGGGTGGGTCTTTGTGGACTCTCTCCCAGTGGCATACAGCTCTTGCTTACTAGAAAAAAAAGACTGCAAGAAAATGCATGGTACTCTCTGCCGATCCCCTTACAGCCGCCTGTGACACTGACATGGTCTCTTCTTGCACGTCCCCAGTCTTTCTGGTGGGCACCAGGCTGATGCCCACAGGAAACAGCTTATGAGTAAGTACAAGCTCCCCTTGTGTCTGCGATGCCCAGCTACTCAAAACTGACATGCTAGCCCTCACTTGTCTTTTGGCACTTCATTAAACTTCTGATTTCTGCAACAAATTCCCCAGTTTACTTAGAGCAGTGTTTGCATCTAAAGAGTCTGAGACTGAATTCTGTGGAAAACTACTCAAAATGCACTGGTAAAACCACAGAAATCCTTTGATTTGCTGTCAGCCCTATGTCCCTGCCTGGATTCCAGCCTTCTTTATGATAGAGTTCTACTAGAAACATCAGTCCATCTATACAGCAGATGTGATCTTAAAGCAGAAAATGGTTTACTAAACCTGAAATGTTTGAAGTTTTCTCAAACTACAAAAAAAAAGTAATTTTATCATCTTTGCCATTTGCTCTGAAAAGGAGACCTGGTCTCTCAACTTCCTGCCACCCCCAGATACAGCTTTCCCCACTTTCTCTCACAGTTAAACAACAGCAGTGGAATATAAAGAACTGAGAGGAGGTTCTGCTCCTGTCACTGTGTTAATTAGTTTTGTGATTTAGGTAGGTTTTTAACTCTTCTCACCTTTATTTCCTTACCTATAAGTCATTCTAATAATGGTGTATGGAAAGGTGCTTTCAAAGTCCCAAGCATGTTGCAGGCAATACCTGAGCAGCTGAGTCCTACACCAGAGTCTTTCCACCCTGGCTAAATCACCAGGGGAGTTTGGAGTGTGGGGGAGAAGGGCCAAGGGGAGCTATTCCAGCAGACCAATTAAATCAGAGTCTCTGAGGGATATGGTATAGGCTTCATAATTTCTAGAAAGCTCTCTAGATAATTTTAATGTGCAGCCAGAGTGGAGAACCACTGTCCTTACAAACAAAAGTTGCACACGGTCTCTTCATTCTATCCCTCTGCTAAATGTTCTGCTCCACCTCTATCTTTGCAGCAACTCTGGAAGCATACGGAGGGGCCCAAAGACAGCACCTGATGGCTGTCACAGTGAATGATCCAGCCATCTCACAAATTCTTTTCTCCTAAGGATGATACATATATATTCTCACCTTCCTCACATTTTCCCACAGAGATAGAGATCTTTCCCAACCCTTTTTATCTGACTACTCTCTCAACTCTTGACCAACTATACCTTTCTATCATTTATTAATATTTGTAAGCAACCTTCTCTATCATTTATTTCCAAAGTCTAACAACATTAGCAGAGTAATAGGTAGCATTATGTAGTAGAAGCAGCAACTACTATTTACTGAGTATTACTATATGCCAGGAATCAAGTTAAGTATATTAACATCACATTTAATTTTTATAACTCTGTGGGCTTTGTTTCAGAAGTATTACAGATGAGAAAAACCAAACCACAGGAGGTGAAGTGACTTGCCTATGTTTGTGCTGTTAGCTACCATACCAGAAAGCCCCCCAAATCAACTCCGATATTGTAGTTTAGCGGTGTTATTTTGATTATTTAAAAATGCTACGAAGCAAAATAAAAGAGAGCTGACTCTAAACTGATTATTTGAATATAAAAACACGGGTCTCTTTTCATGTTAAAGGAACCAAATCTTCCCCTGGAATAATGTACCTTAACAGTTTTTTTGAACAATGATTATAATAGCATATAGGTTGGGGAGAAAGTGACTCCACTATAAATGTATTTAAATTTTAATGAGAATAAATAATATAAAATAAAAAGCAAAGATAAAAAGAAGGGATGATGCCCTATCTCCAAAATGTCAATCCTCATAAATCCCATATAAATAACACACTCTTTCTCACAAGATGACCAGTGTTCCCTTTACTTGGCCCACTATCCGTATCTTCTTTTTCCATTTCAAACTTTCTCTTTCAAGATCCAGAGCAGCTGTTACTTCCTCCAGGAGGACCCTGATACCTGCAAGTCAAATTAATTACTTCCTCCTCTGGATTTACAAGAGACTTCCCCATGCTTCTACAGAGCACTCAGAAAGGTGTGTGATTGTTCTCTACCCATCTCTTCTACCAGAAAATGAGCCCCTGGCAGACAGGAGCTTTGTGTGTTTATCTTTCTATGCCCAGAACCAGCAGGAAACCAGCAGAGAGCCAACATTTAATGATTGGTGAGTAAATGTCTGGATGAATAAAAGAGGGAGTTGAGAAAAAGAGGAGTGGTGAGATCAGGACTTGGGAAACACAAAAGTTGCTTACAAATGTATTTGTTGTCCATCCTTCACAGCTGGTTAGTGCTTGAAGGAGGCCTTTTAAAGCTCTACATATTCAACATGGCTAACAAGCAACTACACTTGACTCGAGACAATCTTTTCAGCTTACTCAATTTCTACAAATAAGGGATCATATATGCTTAGGTATATATACACATGCAAATTTGCATTAAAAATCTGCCTTACAAAGTTGTTTCCAGGAATGTGTATCACTGAAAATAGGTCCACAATATAATTTTAAACACAAAAATGGATTTTACAAATAATTCTTAGCCACAAATAACTATATTTTTTAAAATCTCTAAACATCCCCCTTTAAAGAAAAGTTTTAGGACTAGAGTTAAAAATGAAGAAACAGTATTTGAAGTAGCTTACCGTTCTGAAGTAGCTTACCTGATGGCTCATTATTACTGGGCTCTCTGTATTAATAATTTCGTCAAATTTTTGAAAGCAAACAACAAGCCTACCATTATTATAGATGGCTGTGGCAAGGATGCTTCTGCTGGTGCAGAAGACAGCAGAAGTAGAGTTACAAGTAGTAAATATGATGTGCTGATCTTTCCCAGCTCTGGTAAGGACATGGGAAGTGAAATGTCACAGACACTAAGAAAAGACTACTGTCCAACAGAACTGTCTGAAATGATGTATATGTTCTTGAATCTGCATATCCAGTACAGTAGCCATTCGCCACATTTGGCTATAGGAACTTGACAGTGTAACTGATGAATTGAGTATTCAAAGTATACTAGAAATTCAAAGAAATCTAGAATGCCTAGTTAGTCTGGGGATAATGAAACAGAGATAGCAAATCTGAGGAATATGTCAGAAGAATTTAGATAAATAGCTTGGTCTAAAAGTCAAAGCCCAACAATGTTGGACATCAAGAAGAAATTTAACACGATCTGTAACTGAGAATTTACTAGAAGAGCAAGTGCTGCTTTTGAAAGTTTTGTGCTACACATGGATGCCTAGTTCAAAAAGACCTTAAACGCTGACTTGGACTTATATTAGCTGCAAACAAGATTATCTCTAATCTTCAACTATCTTGTAACCTAAGTTATCTTCAACTATCTTATAACCTAAGTAGGAGGGTAACAGTCTACACTGCAATCAATTCTTCAGAAGCCTTAAAAAATTGCTACCTCTCTTCCCAAGATACTCCTGTTATTTGCCTATATTTTTGAGAATTATTCAAGTAATAATTTTTTGTTATCAAACATTTTGTTTGCTTCCACCTAGCATTATTTCTTTAGCTCTAATGCAAAGAGCTACAAAACAGATACATAAGTGCTTAAGGAAAGAGACAGAAAAGAAAGATTGGGACTACTTCTGCTTTCTTTTATGTTCACTTTGTTTATAAAATGTCTTAATTTGGTGGCTGAAGTCTATATCATAAACTATGTGTTTAATGCAAACTCCACTGCATGGGGCATAGGAATGCTCATATTTTGGTAGAGTATGTTACTACTACACTACCCTGATTTTACACTTATGTTTAATACATTATGGAAAAATATTATTTAATTTAAATAACGGCATCCAATAATCTTCCAATAATCTTCATAATCCCATACTGCTTCCATAATAAAAGCAAAAAAAATTTTTTCACATTAACTCTTAAATCAGAGTTCTGAAAAAGCAAATAAAAAAACTATCTCCAGTCCCTCTTTAAACAACAGAATCCCACACCTTAGATTTTTTACTTTTTATTCAAATATTTTTTTTTCCTAAAACTTTTCTAAATTTCAGAAAGTCAATCCAAGTCTTAAGACTTTAGATACATAACATATATATACTGATTTGGCCTTTAAACTAAAACCTTGAAAAAAAAAAAACAAAAGATAATACTAGGTGGGAACATTAGAACAGAATTGTTTTGTAGAGGTGGTGAAATCACTGTGGATTCTTCCCTCTTCCCCCTCACCCCATATTCTTTAATACTAACTGCTTCCAATTTAAATGTTAAAGAATTTTTAATTAGATACTGTTTCCTTATAGTTAACTAATACAATTTATCTCAAAATTAAGAACCTACCATTTTTTTACAATACAGGAAATTTAAATTCCACATCTTAGATTTCTTTACAGATTTAAAAATATAATGCATTCTCTCAATTCTAAATAACATACACAGTAAGCTAGTATTATGAAAGGTGGTTAATTCTTATCTGGGAAAAAAAATTAAAACCAGAATCAGATAAAAAGCTCAAAAATTTTTATTACTGAAATTACCTATTTTCTTTTAAAATGTTGAAAATGTTGAAAACATTTCACACTGAACAATGCCCAGTGTGCAGGCATACATAATCTTTTATAAATGGAATACTTAAACTAGTTTTATATATATTACTAAGTGAATATTGTCTTAATCAGTTTGCAATCACCTCATGCTATCAAAAACACCTTTAAAATTCTTCACAGAACAGCACTCTGGCTTTGTACTCTAGTTTTATACATCAAACACCATATACTTTTAGGTTATTTTTAACTGCTCCAAGGCAAGCACACATTCCAGATGATACTGCAGAACAGGCTTATACTGAGTTCTGGGATTTACTGCATAATATGCTAACAGAAGATACAGGCAGTGTTCTGAAATAAACTATCAAACATATACAACAATGATACCTTAAGTTTTGCATTTATAAGCTTAAGGGAAAAATAAACAAATATCTCTACCCCCCCCAAAAAAAAAACCACACCCATAACCTCTTTATTTTGCCACATGCACAAAGCTGCTTACCATTCATTGTGGTGGGAAACTGAGCCATCATGGTCCTGAATTTTCCTTGCTAGCTTTCAGCCATCTGCAACATGAAAACATCGTGCCATTAATAATACAACAAGGGCAGATCACAGCTTAGCGCACCCGCCAAGCAGTGGGAATGTCTGTCCCCTTCGGCTCACACTTCCAATAGAAAACAATGCAGAGCTTCTGCTGCTGCTGAACAGGCAGAATTTGCATTTGGGGAAGGGTAGGAGATTTTGTTGGGTAATCATGCTCTCTTTAAAAGCGACCCATTTAAAAGAAAAACATCCCCATATTTAAATAGCAAACACTGAATTAAAGGAGAAAAAAAAAAACTTGGCATGGGCTAATATTCATGTAGAAATTAGTCTGGGAGAGAGTATAGGTAAGAATTTATTTCAGAGAAAACCAACTGCATAAATTAAGTATACAACAGTCACATGAAAACCCATGATACTCTTTTTCAAAAAAGAATCCCCAAACAAGAAAATATCCAAAGTAAACGCAACATGGCTATTTAAGCAAATTGTACAGGTTTTTAAACCTGGGTCTAAAAGTAAATGTTAAAATGTAGGTTTACTTAAACATAACTAAATGTGCTGGACATGCACTCTGCATTAGTGGTTTTAAAATCTTAAACATAATCTAGTACACTGACTGACTCACAGAGGGTATTCAATAAATGGCTAATTTGCAAACATCCAAGGAGGGTACAACATAATTTTGAGCCGTGAATTCTTTATTTTACTATGCGAAAATTCACAGTTCAAAATTTGTGCCATTAATCTTGAAAGGAGGATCAGTTAGAGACAGAAGACACAGCAAATTTAGAGCAAAGCACTTACTAATTAAAACCATGGATTATAACACTACAGGAAAATACTACATTCTAAAAGACCACTCAAAAAGTAATTCATCTATTTATCTAAATCATTTAAATATTAGTACTTTTAGAAGCCCAAGGGAAAATGTTTGCACAAGTCATCTGAGCAAAGAAGACATAAGAGCTGCACACTGGTAGCTGCCACCAGAGCCACTGGCTGCTGCCAGGAGTGCGACCAGGTACCTGGAGTGAGCTCAGTGTGCTCAAGGGAGAACACAACTGCACCAGTGACAGGCTCCCAAAGGAGTCACCACCTACAAAAACCTGCTGGAGACACCCAATTTACCACGGAAAATTAACAGCCAGGAAAACAAACAGCTGCTTTTCTCTTATAAAGTGAATCTTACCTGAATTTTGACCCAATCATTGTGTGGTGAGCAAAGGGAGGTAGCCGTGATGCAAATGCATGGTGTTGCACCAGGCATGGACAGTCAGATGCATCCAGCTACATGGCAGGGTAAGGGCTGGCAATGGGGATGGGGGACCCTTGGTAATGCTTTGAATGGCACTGCCAGTGGTACTCTTCTCACTCCCAGCTTTTCTGTGTTACCATTATATGCCATTTTCCCTCCCAGAGTGTACATTCTTTAGATATTAAGCTTTACTACAGTGCAGTTTTATTTTATTTATTTTTAAAAGATTTATTTATTTATTATTTATACAAGCACTGGGTACAGTCAGAAGCGCAGGAGGGTAAGAGAATTCACCAGAGCCAGAGCAGGGAACAGAGACTGAGGAAATACACTGCTGAGGGGAGCAGCGGGCAGGGTAGGAGAGGTCTGTGTGCCATATGGGACCCTCACCGGTGGCCGGGGATCAAACTGGTGCTGCAGAGGCTGCGGGCAGCTTTGCAGCCCAGCGCTCAACCGCTGTGCCACCAGGGAAGGCCCTACAGTGGAGTTTTAAATCTGCTATCACTCATAGTCTTCCCCTCATGTACAAGTTGATTTCCTTCAATCCTTTCTCAGAAGGTAAACTCCAGATATTGAAGTTGTTTAATATATAGAAAAACAATATCTCAACTATGGTGGAGTGATCAAGAACTCCTTTTGTGGTTAATCTTAAAGGATGAATAAAAAAGTAATTATAATGTTAAGAAGCTTGGACTTCAATGTGTGCTGACAAAGATTTTCATGACTGTAAGGAAGGGAATACAGACTTTACTCACCAAGATGTGGCAAAAACAAATCTAATGGAGGGAGGAAGAGAAGAGCTGAGAAAGATATCAGGCAACTGACCTAGCCAATGGCTGGAGGAATAAAGGCAATGGGATGAAGAAGAGAAACAATGGCGGGTTCAAAATAAATAGAATCCAATATGAAGGATTATGGAGTAAAAGGATTCAAAGTGATGACTCAGAATTATAGTTTGTGAAACTTGGGGAATTTTGGTGTTACCACCTAAAAAAAATAGTGAACACAGAAGGAAGTATCACAAAATTACACTATGACTACCACTTCCTCAAATATAAATTCTACAAACATGTACATTTTTACTTCCCCAATTTCAAATGATCATAATTAATGTAAAACCAAAATAAGTTCTGCATCTTCAAAGAAACTACCTACAGATATGCAGTAGCAGAGGCATCTGATTTTACTAGATTTCTGTTGGTGAGGCAAACAATTTTAAAATGTGGGAGAAAATACCCCAAAACCATTATACATAATGTATTTAACAACTGCATACCAGCATGTGAATTACCAAAGCTAGCTGACTAGCAGAGACAGCAGAGACTTAATAAAAGCAAATAAGGAATAGGATTTCAAAGTCACTAAGCCATAATCTGGCTAGTCATCCTATATTCTGTGAATGGGAGTTTAACAATGAAATGTTCCACTGTGAGCATTCCTAATATAACATACCTACGAAGACCTCCAGGTAGAATATCCAAGAGACAATAACAACTCTCTTCAGAGACCCAGATTTGGTTGCCATCAGGGGTTGGGAATAGTTATATTCATGTCAATGAATGACCTTATCCATGGAAAACATCTCTCTATAGGAAATGAGAATCGTACAACAGTGGTTGAGAAAAAGTGAAATCAGTACATAGGTAGATACAGAGACAGAGTTAAGAGTTTCAAAGAGATGATGGTAATAATTGCCCAACGTCATGGTGCCAAATGTCACAGACGACATTAGTTTCAGTAATTTGTTGAGTGCTGTTCCATAGTTAGTTGACTATAAAAGTCAAATTGAAGAGGATTAGCAGCTAATGAGAAGTGAAGTGTAGGTGACTCAAGAAGCTGGAGGTTAAGGGCAAGGGGAAGAAGAGTGGGAGGAAAGAGAACAGGATGCAGGAAAGAGGCAAGTCAAAGGCTTTACTTTGTAGATAGGAGAACAAAAAAGGAGGGAAAGATTGAATTTCCAAAAGGGAGAAGAAAAGGAGACTTTCTAATGAAAGGTAGGTAGGGTCCAGAGAAGGTAGTGATTAGTAGATAGCTCTAGAGTATAAAATTAGAAGCTAGTAGACATTTCTGGCTCTGGATACAAAGGACAGGAAAGGCAGTAAAGACAGATAAAGATATACATACACCTGGAAGCATGATCTGATCTCCTGGGGCCCCAAGTACCTAAGCACAAATTTCCTCTTTGAGCCAAAAAAAGAGGTCACATACAAACCAGTTTCCATGTGTTCATATCAGCTGATATCTCACATATCAAAACATTCGTTAAATGAATAAATGAATGAGGGAAAAAACATTTCCAGCACAGGTCAACAGTATGTGCCAAAGCAGAGTAAAGCATGGTCTGGGAAAATAAGCAGTGACATATTCACATGAAACAGTGAAGATCTATAAACAATGCAAGGAACTATAACAATAGTTGTAAAGTAAGTATTATATTAATACCCGACTGATACAAATGTAAATCAGCACAATTACCTTTGGGAAAGGAATTTGAAGCATATTTACTTATAGCCCACTTTATACCAAAAAGAATTAAAGCACCCACAAAATACAAAAACATCAAAAAGTAAATGGGTAAATGAAGGCAAAAAATAAAATAAGTGATGACTGTATTCCGACTTTTGCACATGGATGACATTTTTTCATAATAAAAGTTGAAATAGAAAAGGAGTTTTGACATTCATGCTTCTGACATGACCACTGGCTTCCTCCTGCACTGTTGTCCCTGAGTAATCCCTTGAAAGCTTTAACATCTGGTTCACTGTATCCTCTCCTACATTATTCCCATAGTAACTCTTGGTGATGCCAAATAGACAAAAGATCCTATCCATATCCTGGCTCTTAATCTTTGACCTCCTGAATTTCAAAAATCTTTCCACCATTGTATCTTAGATATCCATCTCAAGGTCACATCCTAGGCCCTGGTATTACCTATAATAGCTGGCCTCTGGGATTCATTTCAAGCCTCCTACTCTCCCTTTACCAGTATCTGTATCTCAGAAGTCCACTCTCTCTAGCTCCTAACTCCATTCATTCAACTCTACCGAACCTGCAAACTATTGGCCATATCAACCTTTCTCTGTTCCTTATTTTTCCTTATATGCACACATCCCTTTCCTTATGTTCTATATCCCTCCTTATCTAAATTATATTATGACAGTCCACCATTAGAAGCAATTCATCATATGTCAACTTCACTTCCCACTCCCTCTAGAAGCTACACATCTGGCAAATTCTAACCCTGACTAAACCCAACTCTATTCCACGGCTGGATAAATGAAGTTGCTGGTTGGTCTCACTTTAAAACGCTGACCACTAACTCAAGTGGGCCCAATATGTTGCCTGACAAGTCCACACTCCCCAGTCCATTCACTCTCCCTCCCTCCTAGATGACCATTTTACACTTCTCTCTTTGAATTCCCCAGAATTGTAACATGTTGCCAACACTTTCTACTCAGGTTGTTGACTTTTAATATTAGCATTTTCATTCTACCAACTTCTTATGCTAAGAAAGGCCTATCCCATACCAGGTCTCATAGCAGTTTCTTAAAAATTTATATATTTGATCTAGCTAGATTTTTATTTTGGAGTGAATAGACAAATATGAACCTAAACTGTTTTCTCCACTCTTCTACTGACATCACCACTTACCACCTTAAGCAGTTTTTTGAGACCATCTATAAAATAATTCAGCTCTTCCCAATTGATCTAAAACACATCTACTTTCTTACATACTAAAGTTTACACACAAGCCTAGATTTC